TTGAAACAACTCATAAATATATAGATGATGTTTTTAGGTTGTGCTGTTTGCTAAATTCTTCAAGAAAAAGTGAAAGTGGGAGACGTCGAGGTCGAAAGAAAAGAACTGGACAGAGAACAGTAGCAGGGTGGACGAGAGAGACACTAGACGCTTGCTTAATCAGCAAGAAATGTCTAGCTCCCAGCTCCATAGTGCAGCGCCCTTACGATCCAGGAGGGTTGCTGGACAGGTTTAGTTTACTGGCCTCGGTTGTTCTAACTTTGGATAGCACTATCCACTGTTTAAAACACTATCTAGCGAATAAGTATATCAGGGCAACCAATCGGTTATTCACTGGGTGGAGATTTATCCGGTGGATAGCGTTATCCACCTTTTGAACAACTGGCTCCTGGCGCAAAACCTCCAAGCTGGCCTGACGACGAACATCTAACATTTATTCGCCGAAGGCGAAGTTAATAGTTTTGAATTTTGTATTATTTAACAATATTAACTGAGTCTGAGGCGAATTATTGTTTTAGTATATACACACGAAGTGATCCCAACGGAATCAGAAAGGAAACCATTAAAAAAAAAACATTAGTTTGATTGACGGGTGAATTTATGCGTGAACATCTAACCGTAAACAGTAGATGCACAAGGGCTATCTTTAAAACAAGGAACGGGAATCGGGGAATGGAGAATCTTTAAAATGGGGAATCTTTAAAAGCGAGAATCTTTAAAATGGGGAATATTTAAAATCGAGAATCTTTAAAAGCGGGAATCTTTAAAACCGGGAATCTTTAAAAAGATTCCCCCTTTTAAAGAATTTAAAAATTCTTGGTTGAAACTTTCCTTTTTGTCAGACACATTATCATACTAGCTACGGGTCCTACAGTCCGAATAAGATGAGTGTCAAAACATACTCCAACTAATACCCTAACCTTTCACTAATTCCCGGGCTTATACAACTTGGTAAGGGGCTTTAGGAGGGCTTATAAACTGGGGAGCTTATATAAGGACTAAACAAAAAAGCTTTAAAACAAGCAACATAGCAGTGCTGATCAAAATACTTGTTGAATTTACTCTCCTTTTTATTTAAGCTTCAAAACGTCGTAAAAAATCGAATTTATGTCAATACATGCCAGATGGGGGCTTACTTTCAGGGGGTGGGGAGGGGGGTATAACCGGATGTCTTTTTTCGTTTCCAGGTTGATGAGCCTATTATCATCTATAACTGCCTGGGAGGGCTCATAAGGGAGGAGCTTAAAAGTGGAAGATTACGGAATATGACTAGACTTTGTTTTTATTGTTAATTAATGTCTCAAGGCCGATTTGCACGGTATAACAGGTTTTGCACTTTTTCAGCGCATCAACTGACTTCTCGTCGGAAAAGGTTAATGAGGTATGGCTTGTTATCAAGATATACTTAGGGTTAACATTGGCATCTGCTTTGATGAACAGTGAAATTGCCATTGATTAGTATTAGCGTAAGCGTTAGCAGTAATGCCAACTCAAACTTGAGCATTAACATTGACAACGTGGAAAAGGTCGAATTTTCTGCTTACCACTTCAGATGTGCTATGATCTTCTTAATCGCAAATAAATTCTGCGCATCAGAACTCAAATAATGATTTGCATATTTACTCAAGAAAATGCTGGCATACACGTAGCAGTTTTATAGTTTGTTTATCCCCCTTTGAAATAATGTCCAAGGTGTAACTTTCCGTTTTATTCGAACTGAGTAGATCAGTATCTGGGAAACTGCCCACCTATCCCTCCCCTAAGCCAACATTTTGCCCTAAGTGAGAAGTAAGTGATAGGGAGGGGTAGGTGGGCTGTTTCAGTTTGCAGTTTCCCAGAAAGGTATGTAGATCCATAAGTGTGATATAATTTTGTCTCGCCCTTTTTCTCTAGAACTGTCAGAACGCAGAGCAATAATTTTTGAGAGATTTAGTTAATTTTCGTTCGCAAAAACTAACTTTTCCGGTTGAGTTGCTTGTTATTGGCGAGTACCGTAGTATAAACAGTGTTTTTGAGATTGATAACCGCAACTGTTTCAACTCAGACTTATTATTGTCGTTCTTAGATGTGCTTTAATTGTAGCGTTGATCCCACAGTCAGAGTAAAAGTGTTACCTAACGGTGAGTTCTGTTGTTTTACCTTTTCTTTCAGCATTTTCATGAACGCGCTCGGAGCAATACTGTCCAATTCTAACATCTCTGTCATGTTTTTGTTTCAGCCTCTCGGTCAGCTTCAGGTCATCTGGAATGGGCTGATCCTTCCCAGGCCCTTAACGCCCTCGCAGCCCGTAATCATTACGTCATCCGTGATGCAGGTATCACTGTTGTTATATGTTGCCACGCGATTCAGGCGCACGCACATACGCACAAGCGGTTTTCACTTACGCTTCTCGATCTCTTTATCAAAGCATATCGTTTAAAGAAATGATAGATTTACTTTCCGCCGGGACTATGGTAACTGGCCGCTAAATGAAGGGCAGTCACTTGTTAACTGATCTATTTCACAGCGATAAGGACTTAATTTGACATTAAAAGGGAGCAGTGCTTGTAGGCTTGGCGAAATCTAAATATTTCATTACTTTGTGATGGGTTTTTGATGTTACGGTTAGGCCTTCAGTTTATTGCCGGGAGCGCGCGTATGAAAACAAAATCCGCGTGGAATTTATTAGAGAGCTTTAGATTTTAAGACGAGTACGACTACGAGTACGAGATTTTTTCAATACTGAGTAGCGCTCGCTCGCGCGTGAACCAGCGTCATTTTGGCGGGAAAACGTGGTAGCCGTCGTCATTCTACTACTAACCTGAGATCAGGTCCAATTTGAGCGGTTCTCATACATTCTCTCTAACGGCTACCGCTGAAATTGGGCTCTCCTTTCGTTTCGCCATGCCCGCCGGAATGTTATTTACAAAGCGAAACGAAAATAGAGCCTGATCTCAGGTTATTCTACTACGAGTTTTAGCGAGAATGTCGAAGTGGCGGAAACAAGTTATCAAATGTTAGAAGTTTTATCATTTTGCGATGGGGAAAGCGCGAAACCTCCTTCACTAAAGGTAACAGAGCTAACTGTTCTTGTGAAATATGATAAAATATAGCTTTCCGGGAAGTCTATATTTTGAGAATTCCGCGAAAAAACTTCAAGTCAAATCTCGTACTCGTGGTCGTCCTTGAATTTAAAGATCTCTATTGACTAGCAGCGCCTGTGGGCTCCTATATAATAATTATTTGCTAATTTATGGTCGATTACGCTGCCGGTGATAGGTAATTACCTTAGCAAATATCGACGTTCTAGTCCTAGCAGTATACAGGATTTTTGTCACATGAACTTAGTTTAGTGGCTTTAGTTCCCACGAGTCTCTTGTAGCTCAGTGGTGCAGCATGTCATGTGGACAAGAAACCAGAAGGTCATAGGTTCGACTCGTGTTGAGGAGTATTCGGATTATTTTTCCGAGCGTCCTGTGTCACTGACTATACAAACATCTCTTCTAATACGAGGGTTCCCAGGTTTAACGGGATCCGGGATTTCTCTTGTATGAAACTCGGGAATCGGGATTTTAAAGCAAAATCCGGTGAGACTGGGGATTGAAAGTATGCGTGCGAGTTAGAATGCCGAAGTATCTCTCGGGATTACGGGATTGCACGAAATTGTTGGTCGGGATCACGGGATTGAAGAATCCTACTGGGGACCCTTTGATACCTTGTCATTGTCATTTACTTCTTCTTTAGCTGCCAAAACTATCTTCACCGTCAAACTAGCTTTCTCGTTGATGTCCAGCGCTCAGTAGCAGAGTCCATCCTAGAGGTCATACTACGGCTAACAAACGATAACGGATCCGCTTCTCGCAACTTGTTAGGAGTTTTAAGTTACAGATACAGAACAGAACGTACCAAGCCAGAGTATACAATAGTTGACTTTTCTTCTTAAACGGCAGTGTTCGTTATCATTAAGAGTCAAAACTTTTGCAGTTTTAAAACTAGGGGAGAGTTGGTCCACTTCTAAAAGATGTTTGAAAAAAGAAATTAAAAGAGAGAGAGAGAGTTTGCGTAAATTAAACATGAACGAGCATATATTTTGTTTTAATAATAAAGTTTGAGTTTTAATTTCACTTGATCTTCGTGCGTTTAGTCTAAAGAAGTCTAAAGAAAAACTCAAATAATAAAAACTGGGAAAACTTATTCAAACTATAGTCAAAAGAAGATTTAATCAAAATAATTCACCGATAAAGATTACCCCATCGAACCAAGTGATATTTTAATATCTCTGCTGGGAGTCCTAAAGTTAAAAACAAACGAGCAAACAACAATAACTGTAAGCCTTAATTTACGTAGGTCCTGCAGTGCAAAGTTTTCGTTATTTTCGTGTAAAAAAGAAAGTGGTATTGCAACAACAACAAAATCCGAGTGGTGACGTATGTGGGGAGCGGGTGCTTTAATTGCAATGTTAGTTAGGAGTGCTTTATCATGTCCGTAATCCCGACAAAAAAGAATGCATTTCTTTCACCCCACCCCCACCCCAAAACAAACTTATGGTAAAAGATAAATACCCTTTATATCTTATTCAAGATTTAAAAAGCCTTGCGAAAAATGCTGAAGAAAATATCTGCTGATAAATGAAAAGTAACGTTTAGATTCAAACTTTTTGTTAAATGAAGAAACAGACATACCCTTCAAAGCAATGGAAGCGCAATTATGTCTATGGGTAGAGCGTTGCGTGACATCCAAAAAACGGCTGCGAGGGAGACTGGGTAGTCCTTCTCCCAGGACGAAACAGAGTGAAGCCTTAGTCTGTCACTTGGCTCTGAGCTGCAGTCAGTTGGGGGCGTTGCTGACGATTGGACCGGCCTTGTTAAAAGTTGGGAGCCGCTAAAAAAAAGGAAGCTAAGTAAGTATTATAGAAAAAAGTTATTTATTTAAAATTTGGCAAATTCATGCCGCTGTTTTATTTTATTTGAAAGCACGTCGTCTACGACTCCGCGAACCAAGAGTTTTCGGTTTTCTGTGACATGGATTCTGAACCTGGATTTATAAGGACACTGTTTCAGTCGTTTTCCTTGGAAAACACTGACATTTTCAGAGGACAACGATTCGGAATAAATCTTCCACTGAATTTTGACTGCCGGAGCAGTACGAGTGTTGAGTCCAGCAGCTCTGGCAGTGGAGTCGATTGGACGATGTATAGAATGCCGTTGTTACAGATGCAATCTTTGGCTGACCACTCTACACATCTGCGAGCAACCTGTAACTTTCCCACCACCCCCCATTTCCCCCCCACGGCCTTAAAAAAAAAACAGATTACGCGCACGCCAAGCTGAAAAATCACGCCTTGTTTGGTACATTTTCGTATCAGTGTCTTCTTTATGAGTACATAAACATCATGTGAGGGGCATCAGTTGTGAAAACTGCACAGCAGCAACAAAGCAGGGAAACTTTAGCTCGTGGACCATTAACAGCTACAACGGTAAAACAGAATTCGGCTGCGACCTCGATGGCTCCCCTAGTGTAAATGGGAGCGAAAACAATTTTGGACGATATCGATTAAACACCATCAACTCCGCCCATCGTTGTTCGTCATCTTCTGCCTCTACAACTCAGCATTGGCTTGGATCTGTCTACAGCTTCTAAACCTCAGGTCTAAAAACGGCAAATAGCTAAAAAGCTTTGCAGGCTTTTCCTACAAAAACCAGAATAGCTGACATTAAGCACATTGAACCTGTAAATCAGTGTAATACACCAGGTAGCCTGCTTTCAGGCTCTGTACTGCCGCAATTTGTAATAGTCATCGCAGTTTATAATACCTATCGCAATTTGTAATAAACCGTGTCGCACTTTTTCATAATCGAAGCCCTCCCCTGACTTTTACCACACCTACAGCGACACCCACATTGTTCTCCTTCTAGCCGGTGACAGGAAGTCATGGGCTCCTGCTGGTGAGCAAAGACTCTGTTGCTTGCTCGAAGGCTAATCTCCTTCAGGTGTGTTATTGATCCTCACCACCCCTCCCATCGCATTCACCATTGTACCTTTCTCCTGGCGGGCGTGTTCTTCTCTAGCGTTT